ATTTATTTTGTAATTGAGGTGTTATGAAGTAACGTATTAAAATTTTCCATCCAAATTCCCTCCAGCCTCTGGAGCTTGTCGAGTAGTGTTGTGTTTTGCACATTGAAAGCCAGTCACTCTTTGACAGTTTCACTTTTAACTCTGCTTCCCATTTGGACTTTATATATAATGAGTTATTTCCATTTTGTTTTTGTAGGCTTTTATAAAGTTTAGATACAACTTTTATTGGGGTTTTCGTGTATGCATCTACAAATAGCTGAATCAACTCATTTCCTTCCAGTGATAATTCTTTCTCACATCTTTGACGCTTTTTAATACCAATTATGATTTTATCTACAATCCTGATGCTACTGTCATTTGCTTTAATGCTTGTATGTTTTTTTTTTCCTAATTTGACCATTTCTGGTTTTAAAGTGCTATATAAATTAATAAATTAATCCATCAATTAATGTTTCTTTAATTTTAGGTTGTATTGAGAATCCAGTTATGTAATTTCTTCTGGGGTATTTTTATTCAAAAACAAAGCTTCAAATATAATGATAATTTTATATTAAAAAAGGCTGCACTTTTAAAAAAGATGAAATTTTCCAGAGACCTTTTCCAAATGAAATTTCTTTTTGTTTTACACTTGTGTAAACAAAATGACAAATAAAATTTGTCCAAGTCTAATTGAACTTTAATGGTCTCATATTGGAGAAATTTATCTCGGCATTTAACCCATCCTTTTGGGGAGCAGTGGGCTGCCATCGTGGGGCTTCTGGGGTGCAGTGTGGGGTTAAGGGTCTTGCTCAGGGACCCAGAATTGCAGTCTGTGGGAGTCAAACTCAGAGTTCCAAGCCCAGTGTCCTAACCACTAAGCCGCCACTGCCCTAATAGGGGAGGTAATATCTTGCTATGTGACCTTGTACTGCAGAAGATCTGACAGGATAATTTCCCAAACCAATGTAAAGTAGTCACGCAATAAAATATTGCTTTTCACACACCTGTTGCCATGGAGACGGTCAGACTACCCAAATCAACTCGAAATATGAGGTTAGCGAATATGTCAGACCATGAAAGAACAGCTTAAATTGCAACCGTAAGGAATTCAAATAATATTAGTTATTATATATTATTTATTACCTTAATATTTGGACTGTAGGTAAACAGTTTAAAAGAGCTTTTTTTTAATGTTCGCATCTTTTACACTCATAAAGAGCAGGATAATAAGAAAGTTTGAGTTTCTTATGAGTTCTGTGACTAATCACAGAGTGGATGAAAGTGACAGACCAAGACAAATGCATATACATATATATATACACACACACACACACACACATCTACATACATACATATACACACATACTTGCATACTTAAATATATATATATATATATATATATATATATATATATATATATATATATATATATATATATATAAACACTGTGTGCAGAATTTTTAGGCAGATGAGTATTTCGACCACATCATCCTTTTCATACATGTTGTCTTACTCCAAGCTGTATAGGCTTGAAAGCCAAGAACCAATTAAGTAAATCAGGTGGTGTGCATCTCTGTAATGACATGGGGTGTGGCCTAATGACATCAACACCCTATATAAGATTTGCTTAATTATTAGGCAACTTCCTTTCCTTTGGCAAAATGGGTCAGAAAAGAGATTTGACAGACTCTGAAAAGTCAAATATGGAAATTGCCAAGGTTTGAAGCAGGATCATCATACAATTAAGCGGTTCATGGCAAATAGCCAACAGGGGCGCAAGAAGGCTGTTGAAAAAAAGAAGACGCAACATAACTCCCCGTGAATTGAGAAGGATCAAGCGTGAAGCTGCCAGGAAGCCATTAGCCACAAGTTGTGCCATATTTCAGAGCTGCAACATGTCTGGAGTGCCGAGAAGCACAAGGTGCTCAATACTCAGGGACCTGGCCAAGGTAAGGAAAGCTGGAAAAAGGCCACCTTTGAACAAGAAACACAAGACAAAATGTCAAGATTGGGCCAAGAAATATCTGAAGACTGATTTCTCCAAGGTGTTTTGGTCTGATGAAATGAGAGTGAGTCTTGATGGGCCAGATGGATGGGCACCAGGCTGGATCAATAAAGGGCAGCAAGTTCCTTATTGACTCAGACGCCAGCAAGGTGGAGGTGGGGTACTGGTATGGGCTGGTATCATCAAAGATGAGCTTGTGGGACCTTTTCGGGTTGATGATGAAGTCAAGATCAACTCACAGACCTACTGCCAGTTTCTGGAAGACACCTTCTTCAAATAGTGGTACAAGAAGAAGTCGCCATCGTTCAAGAAAAACAAAGCACCTCTCTGAACAGTATCTGGGAGGCTGTGGTGGCTGCTGCACGCAATGTTGATCGCAAACAGATCCAAGACACTGACAGAATCTACGGATGGAAGGCATTTGAGCGTCATGGTGTAGAAAGGGTCACTGATTTGTGTTTTGTTTTTTTTGATTGGTGCAAATGTTTATTTCTGGTGAAAATAAACAACTGAGATGGGTATATACGGTATTAGTTTTTAATTACGTCGACTAATAATTCTGCACAGTAATATTTACCTGCACACACACAAATCATAAAATGGCAAAATCAAAAAAAAAAAAATCAACTTCCAAAAATATGAAACCTTGATATTGAGGAGTCTTTTGGGTTGATTGAGAACACAATTGTGGCCCAATGATAAAAATAATCCTCAAAAATACAACTTGCCTAATACTTGCACACAGTGTAAATATACAAATATATATACAGAAATATATACACACAAATATATATATATACACACACAAATATATATATATATATATA